CCATCATCTAGCTCCACCACTAGGCTTTGGACCATTATCTCTTGTCTACACACTTAGCTCAAGGATTAGTCCATAGATTTCATCAATTATCCAAAATGAAACTAGGGTTTTCAATGGTCCCCATCGAAATCATTGATAGATATAGTTGATATTAACCTGTTCAGCTTCATTTCCACCAACAACATTGTCAATGCTCCCTTGCGAACCCAACCTCTGATTCAGATGTAGCCTGCATTAGGTATGCTTAGCGATCATCAAGAGAAGTGATATGGAAAAAAATCACACTGCTGTAGGCATAGATAAAACTGATGCTAAACGATTGCTGTGATGAATACTTATAAATTCTTTGTATAGAAAAGCTCAAACTGTTTTTTCATCTAAATGATATGTATTCAATTTTCACTTTACTTAAACAAGGCTGAATCACATTCCTTGCATTAGTGGTTTCCCAAATATTGCTCTCATGTGCCTGCAAGAGGGCACCTATTGCAACTACATTAAGGCATTGTTTGCATGTTATCGGATTCATCTCTTTCCACATGTGTTGAAGTAAATTGGGGTGAAATTTAGTTTAAGTTTCGCTCCAATCCACCCCAATACATATGGATTGATGAGAATGGGACTACATCCAAACAAGACCTAAGTCTAGATGGAAGGGTATTTTTGCATCCACATGGTAGGATAATTACTTGTTGAATATATCATCTATAAATACAAAATACATATAGTATAGCTTCTCTTTGTCCCTAGTGGTACCATATTCTTAAAATAATTTATTGCCGATCTGGGAAGTGCTTGAAACTATTGCATGGATATCAACACACTTCATGGGGAGGTACATGACGTAATTCTCGCTATGTACTAACTAGGTTCAGATTTAGACAACAAGGACTATGAAATGGTGTAGGAGGAAAGTTTTAGCTCATCAGCAAAAGTAAGTTAGCTTTGTTTTGTCTTACGATGGACAACTGAGTTGTGAGCTTTCAAAAATTTGATGAAGGCAGTCTACTTGTAGTTGCTCTACAATCTGTCCTTATCTGATTCTTTTCTGTTTGACCATTTACTACGATTTTCTTTTCTCTATAAATGTTACCGTTTGTTTGTGCTATTGTAAACGCCAGTAACCTGAAATATTGCTTAAACTACTAGCTAGCTACTCTAGGATCATGCATGTGAACAATCTTAGATAAATTTAGTTCATTTTATTTTCATAATTAAAAGAGCTTGAAAAAGGCATCTCCTTAATTGCTAATTATCTTATTATCTAGTAGAGTTCTAATTAAGTATGTGATACCAGTCAAATTCAGAGGTAAACTCACCCAGTTTCCTGAGCTAATGCATCATACTCCATTCCTCCTTTAGCAACAACTGTCTGTTAAGTGTTATAACCCTTTAAGATTAGCATCTGGTATTTTTTCACACATATGGGTATAGCAATAAATATATATTACCCTGAGAACACGCTGAACTTGATGAAGAACACTATTTTCCTTTCGCAGCTTCTCATTACCCCTTTCAAGTCGCTTCTCTCTAGCATAAACATATGGTTGTGCACTTCTCTTCATTATCTTAATTTCTTCCTTCTCTGTATGTAATGCTAATTGGCCTCATCACCAATTCTTACCTTGCCACATGTGGCATTCTCTACCCACACTCATAAATGGCAGCTCTACCGGATACAGGAGCTTTGCCGAGTGTCAGGGGCACTCGACGAAGCCCCAAAAACACTCGGCAAAGGGTTTGCCGAGTGTTACACTCGGCAAACGACACTCTGTAAACGTTTTATCAGTAAACGCTAGTTTGCCGAGTGTTTTTTTATCGCGCACTCAGCAAAGACGTTGCCGAGTGCCCAAAAAACACTCGGCAAACTTTTTTTCGAAAAAAAAAAAAAAAACAAGCCGGCCGCCGCCACCACCGGCCGCCGTCACCCTTGCCTCCCGCCGCCACGCCACGAAACCCGCAGCCGCCAGGACCACCACCACGCCGGTGCCGCCGAGGAAGAAGGCCCTGCCCCGATCTGCCCCCGCCGCGACCAGATCCGCCGCCGAGGGGCCGTCGTGACCCGGTCCATGCTCAGTGGCGGGGAAGAAGGGGGAGGGGCGCCGGATCCGCTAGTTGTGGAGGTGCTCCGGCTCGCCGGTGGTGGGGGAAAGCCAGATCCACGCTCAGGGAGAGGGAGAGGGAGGGCCGCCGCCACCTATGGGGGAGATGAAGAGGAGAGAGGTGCCGCCGCCACCTCGCGCTCGACTGGCTCGCGCAGCTCCGGCGAGCTCACCACCACCACCACGCCGGCGAGCTCCACCACCACGCTCGGATCCGGAGAGGGAGAGAGGCGTGCAAGGCAGATCCGGGGGGAGGAGGCAGGGGGAGGGAGGGGGGATGGGGGCGAGAGAGGGGGGGAGGCGCGCGGAGGGAGGGAGGGAGGGGAGAGGCTTGGAGAGAGAGGGCGGGTGGGGGGAAGAAGAAGGGGGGGGAGGAGGCGCGGGCAAGGGCGGATAGGGGGCGGAGGAGGAGGAGGAGCGGAGGGGCGGAGGAGGAGGGAGGGAGGAGCTTGGCGGAGAGAGAGAGGCAGGTGGGGGGGGGAAGAAGAAGGAGGGAGGGAGGGGGGGCAGGCGGGGCAGATCAATTAAGAAGTTTTTTTGTCTTTGTCGAGTGTTCTAGATCTGAGCACTCGGCAAAGTGTTTTTTCCATTTTTTCTTCTTCTTCTTTCCTAGAAAAAAGATTTTATTTCTTTGCCGAGTGTCCTAAATCTGGGCACTCGGCAAAGTGTTTTTTTTTTCATTTTTTTCTTCTCCTTCTTTTCCAGAAAAAAGATTTTATTTCTTTGTCGAGTGTAAAAAAGAAAACACTCGGCAAACCCCTCTTTGCCGAGTGTTTATTTTTTTGACACTCGGCAAACCTCCTTTTTGTCGAGTTTTTTTTTACCGAGTATTTTTAGCGCAGCACTCGGCAAAGAAATTGTTTGCCGAGTGCCTGAGAGATTACACTTAGCAAACATAAAAACACTCGGCAAAACACTTATTTTCCATCCCTTCTTCATATTGTGCCACTAAAAATTGAAAAATAGAGAAGTAAGAAGGTAATTTATATAAGAACTAAAATATAGCATTTTCTTGGTTCGGACAACTTAGAGTGAGCGGACAGCACGGACACGTCGCCCTAGACATGCGGCGGTGGTGTACCTTCAACCCGGCCGGTGCTTGGGGCCGGCATCCATGGTACGGTGGCGCTTTTGCTCCTTCGCTCAAAGCCACCGGCGTAGGTGGTGCAGTACGCGGGAGCAAGAGCTTCCGGACCGACGTAGATGAGAGATGAGAGCAACTTGGAGCTTTGTCAGTTGTCACTCCCATCCGATGCGACGACAGCGGAGAGGGGTCGGCCGTCGGCGAGGCCCTGATTCGAGAGGCGGGCCGCGCCGGGGGAGGACGCGCGCGGCACGCGACCCACGCACGGTGGACGAGGCGCAGCGCTCGGTCCTGTCAGTGTCGCCGGAGGCGGTGGAAGTACGGCGCGCGACGCGATCACGGGAGGACGTGCGTGGTGGCGCGAGGCTGGTTGGCCGCCGCCATCGGTGAAAGGGGCGACGTGCATGCGCACAGGTGCGGCGAGGGCGTGAGGCCCACCTGTCGGCGCCGAGCAGAGGGCACGGAATGGAAGGGAAGCCGGGGGAGACGATTTATATTGATATATAAAATAAGTACTATATATATAACAACGGAGAATCCAAACAACCACGTAGTCCCTGCCCTCCTCCACTCCCTCTCCTGGCGGCGAGGTTCTCATCGTGCCCTTCGCCGGCGGCTAGTGATCCACATGCGCCAGGTATCTCCACTGCTAATAACTTGGATCATCGATCGGCCAGCCAGCCCCTTTGTTTTTGTAGTCTGTTTATTTACTCGCTCGTACGTGCAGTGTCTCCAATGTACAACAGCCTCTTCAGTTGTCGTGGTACGATGGTAAACTGTGTTACGTGGATTAGGGTTTGGGTGTGATTATATAGGAAAAGGACCATTATTAGCAGGAGTATTAGATTAGATGATCTTCTTAATCAATTTCTAATTTGGTGATGATGCTTAACTGTAGTTTTGATGGTTTCGGTATTTTGGATATTGATCTTGTGAAGATCATGTTGCCACTTGTTCGTTGATCAATATAGATGGTGGTGCCTTTCCTTCTTTTGAAGCATGCATGTACCCTTATTTAGAAAAAAAAACATGTGCACTTACGTTGCAGTTTGTGTTGATAATATGGTCGGTAGTAGTATTGACGTATTGTGTGAGGGGTGGGGAGGGGTCTTGAACACTGATGTTGATTAATGGTCTTGTGCTTCATCAGCTAATTTCATCGTCAGAATTGCTGACTAGTAAGATCTGACCTCAATGTCATTTATTAATAATTGTTCTCTTACTCATTGACAGCTACTGATTTGTATCTTTGTATAGACTACAATGCTCTTGTGTGACTAACAGTTTAGTATAGAAAATTCATTTGACTAGTCTGTTTGAAATCCATGAGTATAAACATGACACTACCTCGTTGGTAAATTATATTATTGGTCCAGATGTCTATCTAGATTATGTGATGATTTGTTTCTTTTTTCCTCAGCAGCTCTAGTCCTTGAAGGTTTTGAGCTCACAATTAAGGCACCTCAAGGTCGTGATGAACTGCAGGTTCCCAATGGATGCCACAGACAGCAAAGCCTCCGTCTTTATAAAGGTCCACAACATTGTGAATGAGAGCACCTCCCACTCTTGTCTATCACTGCAGCAAATCCCCCTCGCTGCAAACCCGTCCATTCTCCCCCATGTGCTCTCTTCCTACGGGCTGGAACCCAAGGATCTTGCTGCTTTGGAGGCAAGTTTAATTTGTACAACAATATATAAAATGTTTTCAGTATTTTGATTGAAATGTTGCTTATCATGTCTATGACGAATTGACGATTGAGATATAATACAACGTTCGTTGTTCAGGCTGCATGTCAATTCTTCAGAGCCCCTGCATGGCTGCATACTTTGAGCCAGATGCCACGTTGTCTCTCTCTGAACTTGCAGCATATGATACTTGCTGCCAAAAGGCCATCTTTAAGACAATGAAGCAAGAGGAAAAAGACAGCTTGAAGCAGCGGTGCGGCGGCTCTTGGAAGCTCGTCCTTATGTACCTGTTGATCGGCGAGAAGAATTACCACCGTGGGAAATCTCAGGTTGTAGCTGGACCAGGGCACACTATCGCTGTCACATCGAAGGGGGATGTGTACTCATTCGGCGCGAATTCTTCGGGGCAACTTGGGCTTGGGGATACAGAAGAACAGTGCGAACCATGCCTTATTAGGTAACATAACATATGCTTATTTTGTCGATAACTAGTAGAACTATATATGCACAATTAATGTCACAACTCTCAAACCATGCCTTGTAGGTCTCTGCAGGGCATCGGAATCACACAAGCCGCAGTTAGCTCGAGGCGGACAATGCTCGTGAGTGACACAGGAAGCGTGTACGCGTTTGGACAGGATAGTTACGCGGGTCTGTCTTCACGTGGTACTTACACTAGAGCAGCCCTAAGGTCGTGGAATCACTGAAAGATGTATTTGTAGTCCAAGCATCTGTAGGAGTCTACCTCTTTGCTGTTCTATCTAGAGAGGGTCAGGTTTATACTTTCTGTTGGGGGCGTGATGACAGGCTTGGTCATGATTCAGACCCAACTGTGATAGGATTTACTGGACCTCTATGTGTAGATTTAGTGAGTAAAATTTGACTTAGATGGGATGACTTGCTGATGTACTTCACTAAACCGTGTCGCGGCCTAAGGCAGCCGGTGACGTAGTAGCCACTGTTGGCCCATACAGGATCACCGGCTCAGGTGAGTGAACCACTCACCAGTCTTGCCGATCACTCGCTAGTGTTGCCGAGCACCCACTAGCCGTGCCGACCACGAACAGACATTGTCCGTCCCACACACTATGGCTAGAGCTTGAAGAAGAATGGAGAACAGAGCAAGCACACACAATACAAGACACCAGCGTTGACCAAAGCCCTGTCTGTGAGATGGCAAATATGAACTCTCTTTACTGAGTTGCCGTGGTAGTCTATTTATACAACTCTATCCATTTAGTCCCAGTACAGCTGCCCTGCTGCAACAGTGACTAGATAACATACAGGGCTGACTCTGCGCCGACCATTGCATGTACCTACAGTGCTGCAAGGTGAGCCGTGCGGCGCCTGCACCTGCAGCGGCTATAGTATCACAGCAGGGGGGGCCTTTCGGTGCCGCATTCCCTTTGTTATGAACGACGTATAGGAATATGAAGTAAAGAATCAAGCCACAGAGGAGACACACGATTTAACGTGGAAAACCCTATGTAGGGAAAAACCACAGCACCACCAAAACAACAATCTCACTATCTCAAGAGTTTTGGGTTACACGCCTATGGCGGCTTACAAGAGAATCAAGTCTCCACGAAACCCTAGCAAGGGTGTATATATCAGCACAGACCATGGGGCTCTAAGCACAAGGGCGAGACCACGATGGTCGGGTCAGACTCCGCCACGCCCGGCGACGCCTCGCTCCGCCGTCGAAGCCCGGCCTATATCCTGGAGTGAATTTGGAACAACTCCAACACCCTTGCTGTGTTCACACAAGGTAGCAGTAGATTATCTAACAGCCACAGCGGGTCGGAGTAGAGGTAGCCGTGCAGGCGCCCGTAGGTTGTCGTAGGTAGCAGCACTGCAGGCGCGGTGCTGTGGCGGCGGTGAAGGTGATGGAGCTTTACGTTGCTCACAGCGCCCCTCTCAATTGGTCTAGGGATAAGACATCGGTGAAGGGATGATGGTTGCGGTGAACCTCATATGTTCTGCCCAGCCTCCACCGTCCTTTTATGGCGCTGCGCGACGGGGGGCCATCAACCAAGAGAACCGGCTGAGCGCCCCAATCAGGACGCGAATCAAGGATCCCATTGGCCGTTGGGCCATGGTAAAGATCATCTTAGCAAACTGATCTCAAGCCTCGCCTTATCTCTGGACCGCTTGAGGATGCTCTTGTCGTCCAGATTGCCGCTGGCAATTGCTATCTCCTTATGTTGGCCTACCAACCGACTGGAATAATGTAGGTGTCATTCATTGTTGCCCAGTATTCATTCATTGCTGGCCTTCTTCTTACAGTATTAAACAAGCATCACCGTTCATATACATTGGACGAGCATGAGCTTTCTTTGAATTATTTACCTCTTTTTCATGCAATAAGATTGAATTTGTATCAATATTCAACTTGCAGGTCGGTTTACTCGGTAGGGTGCGGTTTAGGAGGCAAGCTTGGGCATGGATGCACGACAAACCTGACGGTCCCAAGGATGATCGAGCATTTGCAGGCACTGAACGTAAAACCGGTATCGATTTCAGCGGGCGCTTTCCATTGTGCAGTCCTGGTGAGTGATGGACGTGTGTTCACCTGGGGGTGGCACTACTATGGCTGTCTGGGACACGATGATGAACAAAAAAGTATTGACCTCCCCACGGCAGTGGCAGGCTTGGGGTCGGTGAAGGCTCGGTACGTCTCGGCTGGCTATTGCTCCACCTTCGTCGTCGCAGAGAATGGCGATGTCTACTCCTTTGGGTGCCATCTTTCGCATAATCTGGGTTTTCAGGTTTGTACTGGAGTCTCGGACAAATCCAGATAAAGTTATTAGATTTGATGTTCCGAATTCCTGACCTTGCCGTTTCATCGTCTCTCGTGGTTTCAGGCAGCCGGCGTGGGAGACGCGGGTGAACGGATTCCCAAGCTAGCCACTCAGATTGCTGCGCTGGATGAAAAGGCTGTGCAGATTAGCGCGACTAACACCTTGGACTGGGCTGGCGACAGTTACGTTCCGGATCACTCTCATACGTTCGTCCTCACCGAGTCCGGCAGGCTCTACTCCCTCGGTGCAGGTAGCAAGGGGCAGCTTGGTGTGAAGCTTGCTGAGGGACAGAAAACTAGACCGGCCCCAGATCGTGTCGCCATTGATCTCGCCTAGTTTCTTTCACCAGCATCGACCTCAACCATCTCCCATGCCCCATGGTAGCTGCTGGTGTATAAACATTCATTTACAAACATTTTAGCTCGACTTAGATTCTGGATGGACTATAAGGTTTCGTGGTGGCTTCTTTTCTGAACATTGGACAGACTTGGCTTCTGGTTGGTTTCAGTTTGTGTTGGATTGGGATGGCCATTCTCTGGTAAATGCAACCGGTTGCGCTGAAACAAACTTCACAAGCTGACGCTGATGCTACTGCGCACGTGCCAAATGCGACTCAAATGCTGATCGATTTATCTTTTGATTGAAAGGAAGATCAATCTATGAGTCGTGAGGAGTTTAGACGATGTTAATCATTCAGCTAACAAAAAGATGATATAAATGGGAGAGCTTCAAATCGTCCTGCAAAATTCAGAATAACAGAACTATTCAGTATACACAGGGTTTCATCATTGGCGTGCTGTACAACTGCCCACTAGTAGCATTATAAAGGACCTGCATTTCCAAGAAAATATCACTAAATAGTTTCTCAGCTGCCTACCAAGAACAAGAATAACACAGACCCCTCCTGGACTTTCCTTCAAAAATTGTCCCCGCAGGTGGTGTCCATGTCTCCAGCTTCGGGCAAAATTGGTAAATGTCATAGCAGAATTGCTGTCTTCCATCTAGCATGCTCTTCCCTTCCTGCAAATTCAGAGAGATGCAAAAGGTAAGCTGAATGATTTGACACTGTTTTTCAGCATGTCAATGTTCTGCTATCATGATTCACTTTTCCCCAGCTTTCAGCATGTCAGTGTTCTGCTATCATGATTCAGTTTTCCCCAGCAGCAATGCTTGTGCTGGTTGTTGCAGTTACGCTTGTAAGAAAGCAACTTGCTGGTGTGGGGGATGCTCTGGCAGAGCTGGGGTCAACATGTCACGTGAACACTAGCAAATAGCAACCGAGCAGGCCAAAACACTGAATCCACATGGCTATTCCGACCAAGTAATGTGAAAAATACAGAGTAATGTACCTCTGTTACATGGATTGTTTTGGGGCCCTCCAGCAGAGTAGATTTGAACCAAAGCGTGAATTCTTGCTCCACCTGTAGAAGAAACAAGATAGTTCAGCACTCGTTTGTCACGTCGCAGTAATGTAACTGAATATATCGTTGCATGAGATTGCATGGCTAAATAGTTGCCTGTGAAGAAGCAATAATCGAGGCTATCAATCAAAGTACAGTGGAATAGTGCCAAGTTCAGACTGCTTACAAGTCATCATCTCTTGAACTGTAAGTAGCTCTTGAATTTGATCTTGAACACTGCTCATAAGGTTCGTACGCACAGAAGTATGTATCGAATTCTTTCTTAGGAAGGAAGTCCATCTTGTTATGTGGCTGGATCCTCAAACAGATTGTGTGTGCTGCGCCAGAAGACAATAGCTTCTTTTGAAGCTTGAGTGTTCGTGAGAAGCAATTCGGCTGTAGGTCAGGCTCCTGGATGCTATCAAAGTGGCCCTGCTCACTTACACCCTTTGAGTAGTTAGTCTCCGACCTGCATGTCCTTGTCAGGTCATCTGTCATGGATCTGTTTGATGTCAAGGTACTCCGAGCATCATCCTCACAACCATGGACTGTTGGTTTTGAATCAACACGTTGCATGGTATATGGTGATTCCTGCTGACTAGAGGTGTAGCCTTTAAGCGGTGTCTCCCTTGCTCCAGGCCTCACAGCTTCATCTTCATCAGTCACAACTGAATCTGACAGCTCTTGCTTCCGGCCAGAGCAGTTGAGAAAACTGAACGACTGTCTCTTCAACCTAGCATCTTTTCTCACTGGACACTGTACAAGTTTGAATCTGATCTCCACATTACACCCAAGAACATGTTGTAAAGAGCATTCTATTAGGCTTTGCATTTTCTCTGCTCTTGATAGGTGATCTGGGTGTCCAAAACCAACTTCTGCTATGGCCAGCTCTGAGAATTTGTACATATAGTGTATCATTTTCAGCACAATCCATATATGAAAATTAAAATTCAATTGAGATGGCACGTTTGTTTTTACCTTCAGTAACGTGAACCGATGATAAGAAGCCCTCTTTCCTGAGGAAACTTTTGGCTGACCTTGATCGACACTTTCCAATGGCTCTCCTCCATATGTTCTCAAGCTTAAGCCGCCTACAGTGTCTCTCAGAACAGTTGGACTTGCTGCTGTTACATGCCTGACAAAAATTGGCACTTGAGTGCACCTTGGAAACCCAGTCATCTACACAATGGGATATCAAAAATGGTTATCATTCCATTCTGTATGGAAATCGGAAATACATGGGATACTGCGAATTAGTATGTTTACCTGTATATCCAGTTACTGAATGTGCATGCATATCATTAGGTTCAGCAGCAAGGTTAGGTTCATTGGTGCTAAACTGCAAAAGCGCAACTGTAACCCAAGTAGCCTGATTCCTTGATGTCCTCAATTGTTTTTCAGTTTCTGATAGTATCTTCAGTGCATGTCTTAATTTATTTATTCCAACCTCTGATACTGCATAATCATGACAAAAAAGACCAGACTTGAGACGAAAACCTTTGTGGAACAAACAGGGATGTAGATAGACACAGTTTCAAAAATCAAGATAAAAGAAAGATCATGACAATTTTTCAACAATATATGTATGATCCTGTAGTTGGTTCAATTCAAGCATCTTGAAATATTAGCACGCAATTTTGAACAATAGGAGAATGCTCATGTGGCAAATAAGAAAGAAACTTGGCAAGGAAAGGACACGTACATGCATATCTACCCAAGAAACTTTTGCTGACTTCAGTAAGTGCAGATTGACATCGCCCTGAGAGAATGTCCATAATAAGGTTGGCCAACTGAGACACCAGCTGCAGAGGATCAATTGCTGACCCCATAAGTTCTCGAGCTCGTCTTACAGTATTGGTTGTGTCCGATGACAATGCTAGGTCAAGCAATTCAATCAACTCGTCATCAGAAACAGATCCTACCTGCAAATAACAGATATATAAACATGACAATACTGACTTTATGATATACTACTTAGAGCATGACAGATGACAGTAGATAACTCACAAGTTCATGCACAAGAGAAATTGTGATCTTCTTCCCAAGCAAACTGAGTTGATCAAGCATTATTTCTGAATCTCTAAGAGAACCATTAGACTTTGCAGCAATGAAGTACAACCCATCATGGTCAAATTCCAATCCTTCTTCTATACAGATTTTCTCCAACCTGTAGACAATATCCGCCACCTTTATATTCGGAAAATGGAACTTCTGGCAATGTGTGATGGAAGTGCGAGGCAGGCTTTCTATGTCAGAAGTAATCATAATGTATACTGTATGCCGGTATGGCTCGTCAAGACTCTTCAGTATTGCTGACCATGCATCTTCTTGCAAGAGATGGCATTCATCTATTATGAAAACCTTGAAGCGCGAAGAATATGGAACAAGAGATGCGCTCTTGAGAAGTGCCTTTACTCGATCTAAACGATCCATTTTCGCCGCATCAAGTTCTTTCACATCTCTACTCTTCCCAGAGAAAAGAATGACACACTCTTTACAGAACCCACATGGCCTTTGCTCTTCAAGAGATACACAATTTAGTGCCGCGGCAAAAATCCTTGCCGTGGATGTCTTGCCTGTACCCCGGGGGCCATGAAACAAGTACATTGGAGCAACTTTTCCTTTGCAAGAGGAATATAAGAGGGACTGGGCAACAACATTTAGACCAATCAATTCACTGAAAGAACGAGGGCGGAATTTCTGGCTTAAACACCTCGGTGTCTCAGTGTATGGTACATTGCCTTGGAATGCTGCCTCAGTCCCATCTGTAGACAAGAGAGGTTGATCTGGACCATCACTATCAGAATAAAGTTCTCGGTACTTTGACGCTCCTGACCAGCAGTAGCTTATACCACAGCCACTAAAATTCGATCCCACGACATCATTTGACCTCAATCGTGTATCCTCAGTTCCATGCCCTAAAGTGCTTCTTCTTGACCCAACGGAGCGTACCTCACTGGCTGACATACAGGGGCTCCCAACACGGCTCATTGCAGCAGAAGACTTGCTCCTGAATTTGGAGTAGTCTGGCATTTTCACTTCTTCATCAGCCTTATCTGGCATTGCAAATTTTGGTCTTTCATAAGAATTCACTTCCTCCTCTTCCTTATCTGCATCCACATTGTTGACCATATTGTTTGCCAACTGACGGATAGAACTATGATTTGAGTGGTTAGAATCCAATGACTTGCGGTGACCATCTTGGCGGACACGATGAACCTGCTTGTTTCTCGGTGGGTTCAAGCCTCTGATCCTGACAGCAGAAGATTTCCTATATGATGCAGTCCTTGCATTTGGTCCCCGAAAACTCCGCTCTGACCCCATTGTAGGCTCAGCTCCCACATCTTCGTCTTCTTCAACCAGGTGATGATGCGCTGACCTGCCAAGCTCCAGAGTCACCCCATTGCTAGAAGCAGTCTCCCAGATCATGTGATCAGAAGGAGATGCGTACTTGCTCATCGAGTTTGTCGCTGGATCCCGCAGCGATCTCACTCGCTTGAGCTGCACCAAGGTTCTTGACAGTGGGACATCCACAGACACAGAGTGACGCCTCATGTCCATCTTGAATATGCACTTCTCCGTTCCAACTTACCCAGCAATAATGAAAGATAGTATCTTCAATGTTGACATGGAAATGTGGTCCTTCTTTTGATTAGGACATGACCCATTGTAGCAAAGTCACTGCAGAAGATCAGACAAAAGAACCATAAGAACACAGGTTTCCGTACATGCCCTGATTCTCCCCTTGTACAGCCAACAAGGAGCTTCAACTCAGATGAGAGATCAGGTCAAGATCGTAGCTGGACACATCATCAAGTCTGATAAAACGGTACTAAAGTGAATCATTTGCATGGCTTTTGAGCTCAAACAGAAAATGCTGCATGTTCCGTATCTCCAGTATATATTAAATCCAGGCCAGAACTTGAGACAGATATATAAGCATAAAAGAGGAGGAGCAGATTTTTAAAAAAGAAGTAATGTTTAAGGCTATCTTAGTGCAGTATTGGAGCATTTATTTTGTATACTGGAACAGGCCCATAGAAACGAAGTATGAAATCTCGAGGTCCCAGAATCATTCAATAAGCACAGATCAAGGCAGTAAAAATGAAATGCCTCATTTTTGCTGTACAAAGGAATCAAGAATGAGGCGTCACTTCTCCCTTTTCTAACCGAAATGAAAGGTAAAACAGTGCAGATAATCCACACGTTCTCTCCTTTTCTAACGAACGTGGGGCTCCTAGGAAAAAACAAACAGCAAGTGTGGAGAAAACAATCAAAAAGTCAAATCCGGCCCCTAGCCTCAGCCCCAGACCCCCAGTAGCCTGCACTTAAAAGTAGAAGAGATTTGCACAATTGCAAATACCAATCACCTTCAACCTCTCGTAGAAATATGACATGGCACATTGGCACAGCAAACCAAAAAAAATCCAAATAAAAACTACTCAAAGGACAGCGAAGAACCCCTCTCAGAACCTCAAATGAAATCACTGAAGATTCCAAAAATCTTTGGGCCCATCTCCCAACCAGCAATGGCCCTCTTCCTGCTACCGCATAGAGATGCAGCGACCCGTGCATTCCTTGTCGTTTAGCTCCTCGCAAGAACACGGATCAGAAGCACAACTCAAAAACCCCACAAAATCACAAATCAGTGCCGCGGCATTGCGAAAGAACCACGAGATCCAGCGACGGGGCAAGCAAACAACGAGACGCGCGGCGAGGGAGGCAGGAGATCCCGTCCGGAATGGAGGGGAAGGGAACCCGTCGGGATTAAAGCGATGAATGCGCGAGGAACAATGGAGGACGCCTTCTCACCAGAAGGAAACCCGGAGGAGGAGGCGGCGGCGGCGGCGGCGGCACGGGCCCAGGGAACGGCCAGGGCTTTTGCCTCGACGGGGTCGGGACAGCGCCGCGTGAGGCCTGCTCTGGTACGGTGCAGCGTGGTAATGGTAGCGGCGGGTACAGTCAGCTTGCTAATCAGCCGGTCGGCCCAGCACCTCACCACCTCACCTCACTCAGCTGAGCTCGCGCGGCTGGAGCCTGGAGGGGGGAGGAGAGCGGGGAGTGTGAGCAGCTTGGGTGTGGCCATGTGCTCAGTGGCAGAACGGCACGGAAAAGGGCAGGTTTGGGGGTGATTAAACAAGTGCAGTGGACCAGTGGTCATGGCGACGGGTGCAGCGGCAGCACACCCCACAGTCCTGGGCGGTGGGGCCGCTGCAGTCTCGGCGATCGTGCCGTAGCGATGGCGTTTCTGTAGCTTTGCCAGAGGCCGGAGGGTGGTGCCGGCCGTGCTCAGCAGAGAGGGTGTGTGTGAGTGAGGGAAAGGCCGCTAGGCTTTTTGTTCGTTGCGGTGGCTGTCTCCGAACTAAGGATGGCAACGGGGATATACCGTCGGGTATCATGGGAACGTTCTTTTCCCTGCTACAAAAAAAATTCATCCTGTCGTCATCTCTGTTAACTGTCTCGGGTTTCTTACCCATTTTCGTACCCGTCGGATATTGGTCGGGTAATATGACATCGACGACAGATGCTGCATACCCGAAAAACAAGGACACTTGGGGTGAAGCTTTGTAATCGGAGACGCGTTTCTTTTTCACCGGGTATAAGTGTTTGAGTCTCGGAGATGCCGAGGAGAAGGAGCGAGGTTGCGAGGAGGACGAGCAAAGGTGGCGAGAGAGACCGGAACCGAGAAGCGAGGGGCACAAGCGCCGTCAAAAAAAGCGTGCTTGTGTTCTTTGGTGAAGATGGTGAGGAAAAATTGAATTAGGGTTCTTAGAACACACAAACTATATATATAATTATTCAGATTTGGACCAAAATACCTATGTTGAGCTTTTTGGGCCTAATACTCGCGCATGACTCAAATAAATAGTCGGTTCCCCAACGGTAACGGGACGGATAAGCGAGGACGCGTTCTGCACCGCTATACCCATCGGGTATTGATTCTTGCCCATTTAGATGCTCGCGGGTAAAAATATAATCACATCCCCGTTCCCTAATGGATCAAATACCCGTCGGTATCGGGTTTCGAGGCCGTTGCCATCTTTACTCCGAACCAGAGGAGAGGGGAACGAAGAAGTGAGCCTTTCACGTGCACACGGCACCTCCGTCTTGCTTGAAATTACACAACGGTCCTCTTTAAGTCCGGTTTTTGTGCTGTAGCACAAGAAGCGCACGGTGTAGGACAAATGAACTAGCTTCAGATCGTTTTTCGTAGGTGACCTTGATTGGAGGAAGTACATCACTACTTTCTCTGACACTTTTTTTTAACGAATCAGCAGGAAAGCTACCTGTTATCTTAAAAAGCAGGAAAATCCTCACAGACATTGTATAGAGAGAAAAAGTTACGGCAGCAACAACGACAATTTTGTTGCTAAGTAAAATATTTTGTATAGATAGCTCTTGGAGACTTGGTACAGAACATATATATACTACTGCACCACAAACTATGTTTACTCTTTTTCCTCTCTTTTCTAATGACTGCAAACATTGGGACCAAATTATAGTTCACTTTTGTTTTTTCCTAAGTCAGACTTATCTATTTTTGATCAAATTTATAGAAAAATACACTTAACATCTAAAACATGTTAATATGTGTTTTTGAAAATTTAGTTATTACTCTACCGTTTCATGCTTTGAACAAGTGCATTGGACGTGATGACCTCGCTCGAGCCCTCATTATTGCTATTCGGAGCATAATTGCATAAAGCCTCTGCCCCTTCTAAACCAGTAAACCCTCTCTGCAAAAATGTATACCTCTCGAGGCCTGGATTAAGATGTCAAGGGGCTAAAAATGAAAAATAATACATGAGATCTCTTCTTTAAGTCCTAATAACTTACTTTCGTAGATCAAGCCCCTCAAACTAGTTCAACTGAACTCCATCTCATCATCTAAAAAGAAGAATTCCTTGTCCGCTTCCTCAAATAAATATCTTTTATTGTAGGGTTTGAACTGCAAATATGAGAGTCAAGGAATTCCAACAAATAGCGCCTTGAATGGCATGAAAAGACAGGATGACAAAATGGAAAAAAACACACACACACGTTCGCGTCATGTCAATGCCTATGCCCAATGTCCCAGAAACGCAAAAAAGACGTGCCGTGAAATACTAGCAGGAAATTTTCTTCGAGAAGGACGAAAGAGAGAGAAAATTTTCTTTGGATGTGTGCCGTGCGCGTCTGACGATGATGTGCGAGGAGCATGCCAATGGGTATCATCGCCAGAAACCTACTGTACGGAGTACTACCCCTACCGTTACAGAACGTGAAAGGCTATGCAGTAGGGGCAAGCATCTCTGCTGCCTGCCTCCAGTTGCGCCGTGCACTACTCCTACGGAGAATCATCGCACGTCCAATCGAAATCCAGCCTTGCGTCGCGCAAACAGATGGTGCCCACCCTTTGACCGGAATGAACGTTCTTCTCTGTTATTCCTCCGGCCAATTTTTTTAAAAAAAACAGCGTAATTTTAGCTTTTTTAATTTTAACCCTGTCTATAAAAATATTAATAGTATTATAGTAACATCGAACAAGTAATAATATTGAATTGGCCACAAAATATATTTTTGTAGCATATATGTTTTGATATAAATATGATATTTTTTATAAATTTAGTTAAACTTAAAATAAATTGACTTGCATCAAATTTATAGTAATATTTTTGTACAAAACATGTCGGGACTTTTCATTTCCTGTGGCCCAGGTGGAATTAATTAATTAAGTCGTTTGTCTTGTGTATGGAAAGTTGGAGGGAAGAGACACATCATTTAGAAATATATCTTGTGTATGAACAACGTAATCCATAGTCCGTGCTGTTATCATTTCCTTTTATTCAGAGAGTGTTTGGATGCCGGCCACTGTTGGCCACGCCTAAAGTGCGGCATGGTGTGGCGTAGAGTTTTTCGGCGCCGCACCTGAGGCATAGTTTTCTAGTGCCAGCGCCACACTTCATGGCGAGTTTTCCATTATTGCAAGATTCTATGGCTGCCTCAACCACGTAATAAGCTTGCCACCGCTGTGGCATTGCGGTGTGTGGCTGGAAACCAAATGGTCTCTGATCCTCCATGCACGCACCGGCTCTATACACGTACTCCTACGTCTTGTTCGATCGGTCGTCGTTTGTGTATCATTTGTTAGCTAAAAAGGCCTGATAATGATTACTAGAAGCTACTCCCTACAGTAACCTTCGACATGTGCAATCAAATCTCTGCTCCCTGTCTTCCTGCATATTCTATTTGTACTAAAAAATAAAGTCATTTTTGGACAAAGCTTGGGTCAAACATTGGGAATATAAATCATGAATAACTTTTAAGTTGTTGAGTTTGAAAATGTGAAAACCATATGTATAGATTTGTCTTGAAAAATACTTTCACAAAAATTTACATATATCACTTTTTGATAAAATATCTTTATAAAAATAAGTAGTCAAAGTTATGGATTTGGAGACCGTGTCGCTGTCAAAACGACTTTATTTTTTTAGTATGGAGAAAATACACTAGTGTGTGCTTGCTGGTTCTTCTAGGTTTTGTACCGGTACTAAGCCCTGTGTAGTAGTAGCAGAACTTAGGGTCTACAGACTCTACACGACGCCTAGCCCGAAAACTAAACACTTGCCTGAACAGGGCATAGATGAGCTAGCCGAGTAGCTGCTGTGATATACTATGGCCTCTTGACATTGCAGTAGTATTAGCAGGAGTGCACCGCTGAGTGCAGGAGACATCCGTGGTCTTCCAGCCATGATGCGCCATCATTAACCATGGCCAGCTTTATTTTACTTTGCTCTCGCTTAATACAGTTTTAAGCGATGGATCGAAGGGGAGAGCCTAGGCCGCGTTTAGTTCGGCAAATTTTTAAGGTGCAAACTTTGCACGGTAAAAGATTCCTCACTGTAGCATTTTGTTTGTATTTGTGAATTATTGTCCAAACATTAACTAATTAGGCTCAAAAGATTCGTCTCGTAAAGTTAAAGCAAACTGTGCAATTAGTTTTTTATTTCGTCTACATTTAGTACTCCATACATGTACCGTAAGTTTAATGTAACGAAGAATCTTCTTTTTATACAGTACACCTTTGGAGCCTAAACGTACTACTGTACTGTACTCCCACATGCAATCACTGATGCCGGCTGCTGCTGCCGCCGCCTGTGCCCTGTAGAGAGCATCGATGATTGGGTCCTGGGCACGTGCCGAAAGCCTCGCTCCCAAAAGATTCTCAGCTCCTAGCCTGCGAGTGGCGATCGGTACTACTACTCGGTGTGTGTACGTACTGTGTCATCACTCATCAGTAGTACACTGCTCTTTGTTGTAGCGGTGTTTCTCTTCTTGCTGTACAACATGCATACATGGATGATCATCTCAGAAGATGTGAAGCTTCAGTTCATTTCACCGCTCGTAGCAGGTGCGGTACGTGCAAGCTCTACATAGGACCACTATAAGAGTACGCAGCAGCGTGCGGTGGATCAGGTTCGGGTGTGGTAACCTGAAGTCCTGAACTGAAAATGCTGAAATTAAGTTTCCTGCTGCCACTCTGATAAAAACCCAGCGCGAATTTTATGCCCCAACAGGCCGTGGCAACGGTGCATGTCCTTGATGTTCTCCCATCGTCGTGCGTGCTGCAAGGGCTGCGACGCGTACGTGGTCCACGCAAAAAAAAATGTATCTAGAAAAAGAAACTTGCTTTGGGCCGGGACACTCAGCGGATGATCTACAGCTTAAGCGAGGATCGATCAGACAATTAGACAAGACAGGGGGGGAGGCGCGGGGGCAAACTTTAAAAAAAGCTTTGCGGTTTTAATAAGTCCCACACGTTGTACTGTAGAGTGTAGAGTACAGACAGTCTCGTGCGCCTCACTGGCGTCACCGGAAACCGGTGGCCTTGAGCATGCAGCTCTTGCACGGCCTCTCTTGGATTCTTGAGCGACGAGAAGGGCCGGATTCGCGTCTGTTTGGCGCCACGTGCATGCATGCGCCCATCGTGCGTGGCACTGGCGCACACGCCGCCCGTTTCCGGTGTTCCAGATCGGCGCGGCAGAAGACGCAGATAAACAAAAGTGCTGCTGCTACGCGGGTGCCCCGCCCGATAGGTTTATTTGTCCCGGTGCGGCTTGTCATCCATGGCTCCCTCGTCCCCGCCTGCCTG